GACGGCACATCGGTGTTGGATGAGGGGCTTGCCGTAGAGTTGTCACTTGCGCCACGGGCCACGCGAGGAGTTACCGTACTACTGGAGGGGTGAACCCCGTGAGAAGATGTGCAGACTTGAATGGATTTGGGCGTGCGATGCGAGCATGTTCTTGGACCCGAATGAGTTATTTGGGGAGACCAATCGGTCCCTTTCGCCGAACGCAAAAGGCGCTGGTAAATGAACAGAACTAGCCAGGAGGGAGTTTACGTGAGCGGTGTCGTATCGCAATACAGATTTAGTCCACCTAGCCACATATCCACGATTCTATACTCCGAGTCACAAGAACCGGGGCTGCGGCTGCGGCGAGGTTGACGGAAGCTCAGGGCCATGTTTCCTATTTCGTGGGTGGCTGCCGTTTTTCCGTATCTTCAAGGTGCATCAACCATCCCATTCGACACATGAACGATTGAAGGCAAATTGAAAACGTGAACAACATTCCAAGGGTTATGTTTTGGACCAAAACCTCTCCAAATTGCTCAGGGTTTTCCGTCTGAAGTCAGCCGAATCAATAGGTCATCCGACTGATACTTGATACCCCTTGGAATGGCGGGGTTGCCAGCTGCGGAGGTTCGAGTCTGTTCGAGGCCCGACGGCGTCGAGCTCACCGCGGTCCGAGCGCAACGCGCATCGGCTCGCATCCCTGCATCAATGACGTCACCCGCTCCAATACTCATCGTCCCACCACCACCCTACTCATGAAAGTGAATAGCCGGCAAGTGGCGGGGCACAGATAGATAAATAATTTTTTAGGTGTTGATTGAGTGAGCAATTGTTCTCACCGAAATGCCCGCTTGCGCGGTTGGAGTGATTGGCTGTGAGCTTAACACGAACATATTACAAACGGGAGCTTACACGGGACTGGAACGAAGAAGTAAAAGCTTATCCAGGTGTGCTTGCTGTTAGAATGATGCCGTTTTCGATGTCACGCGGGAAATGTAGCAGAAGACCCTGTTAAACGTGCAGGGGATTCATCCGAGAGGTACGACTTAAATACAGGAGGAGTACATACGAGAGGAGGAATGGAACAGAAATGAACAAGCGCTGGGTCGGGGATTGCAAAGCTACAGTGACGATGGCCGAGTGTCCGAGCAGAGAAGGAGGGTGGTAAATTTAAAGCGCGCGGCTGCGTCGGCGTTGGTGAAGGCGCGAGCTGTGCACGAGCGCGTCCAGTTGACAATCCAACATTTGCGGTGCGAAGACAGCTCGGACTGAATTCAGGAGGGGCGGGGGGGTGTATGAAGCCATCCAGTGCCGAAAGGGAGTGGAGGAGCCACATTGAGAATGAGGATGACTGAGCGACTGCACAGAGAACCAAAATTACAAGCTCCAGTCCAGAAAGATTAATTATAGCGACGAAGCCGAAAATGAATCAGACCAACGATCCGTGAGGCGAGAATCAGGTAATAAATGAATGAGGGAGGATAGGAGAAGAGGGGGTTCCGAGAGAACGGCGGGATAAACAGTGGTGACCCTGTACACTAAGCGGACAAAAAGAATGCTCAATGGGGTTTGGGCTCATTTCTGGGCCGAATCACTCCAAATAAAATGGTAGCATGAACAATCATCGATTTCATAACAATACACACTGCTTCCCCCATACCATCCCTACGTACTTCTGCCGGAATAAAATATTTGGGTGTTTTCCAAGAAATCGAGTCTGTGGAATCACCGCGTACCCAAAAATGGTCCATATAGTCTGAAAGTACTCATGAAATGCGCCTTATTCATGCTTTGGGCGATCTCAATTGAAGGTGCTTTGAGCTCATAATGCCTCATGGAAGTTACCCATTTTCGGCATTTTTAGTGTAAAATGGCTCAAAAATGCGAAAAATGGACAACTTGAACACCCGCTATGAGCTCAAAAGCCAATGCATGCAGGTCAACCAGGATACACCCGAGGTCCATTTTATGAGTACTTTCAGACTACATACACCATTTTTGCATACACCCTGTTTCCACCGACTCGGTTTTTTCAGAAAACACCCAAATAATTTATTCCGACAGAAATATGTAGGAATGGTATGGGGGAAACAGGGCATATCATCATGAAATTGATGAGTGTCCATGCTAACATTTTATTTGGAGCGATTCGGCCCAGAAATGAGCCCAAACCCCATCGAGCATTCTTTTTGTCCACTGAGTGTATACTCAAGAGAAGGAGGCTCGGAGGCCTTGCTGCCGTGGCCGCAGATCGAGAAGTTGATTGGCCCACGGCGCAGACTCCCTGCCTCTTCATGTCCAGTGCAAAAATCAGCATCACTCACAGCCATCTGGAGTCTTCTAAAAATTGTGAGCATGGTAAAAATATGGAAACCAGATGCTGGGGTTGTGGACATGCCATCCGAGCGGCACGTGCATTTAAATTGTTGTCTTTGCTCAGTTTCATTTGACGATGAGAGAACATCGAAGAGAGTTGATAACACATGTACAGTGAATGAAGAGGTTAGGAAATTAAATATCTGAGGCAATTAGTGAATCTGACGAAATGATATGAACAGAGAGAGGCAAGGCACGTGCCGGACTGTCTGAGGCTGAATCTGGTTGGTTTTGCGATTCCGTTACCAGAAGGAAATCGGGGGTGGTCTACAAAATGGTTCAGCTAGATAAGAGCGAGGGAAAAGCACAAGCCTGGAGACTTATAGAGCCAGGAGTAATATACACATGAACGCGAACACAGGGATTCGAACCCTGGACTGCCTCGGAAGCATGAGACATCGTGCAAATGAGAAGAGACTGTGTTCCCAGCACACTATGTCCAAGTTGCTTCCCAGTACATCCAGATGGTTTGTGGCGAGTTCAAGGGAGGATGTAAGAAAAGGAAAGGGTAGAAAAAATGCAATTCAGACACAAGGATTCGAACCTCGGACTGCCACGAAAGATGAAGATTTTTTCGGCATACTACGAAGCAATGTTCCCACTACACCATATCTGAGTTGATTCTTGCCACATTCAGGTGCCTTTATCAGCTTGTTTGAGTATTAGCATTTGAATAATTAGGGTCGTTCACAGTAGCCCTTTTTTGCTCCCTTTTTCTCTCCCTTTTTCTGCACTTTTTGAGACTGGTCCGTTTTTGGCCGGGTTTTTTTTTCCCTTTTCACTTCAGACATGTAAAAAGGGTTGAAAAGGGAAAAAATCAGGGACCCAAACGCAAAAGGGGGCGAAAACACAACAAAAAGGGAGCCAAAAAGGGAAGGAAAAAGGGCTACTGTGAAACCCCCCCTCGGAAGCTCCCTTTTTCTGCCCTTTTTGGCCCCCTCCTTTCATTCCTTTTCTCAATACTGTGTGTTTCATGCAGAGCTGGAAGATCTGATTGCTACTAGGACATTGGAGAACACTTTGGGCACTCAGTTCGAGGTCTGATCCAACCCTAAGATTATTTTCATCAACCATTTACACTGAAAGCGTTGGTCTGCGAAAAAAGGAACAGAAAAAGGGAGGCAAAAAGGGAGTGAAAAAGGGCCACTGTGAACGACCCTATTGTAGACAGAGCGTGATTCTCGCGCCTCACACCCCGTCTTCACCCTCCTGTGTCTTTACCCGTCATCGCTCGCTCGCCCCGCGTCCAATTAGTATCCCGTGCACGTCCCCTTCTCGTATCCACGGGCCGTCCCCTCCCCGCGCTCGCAGCGTCCCCTTCCCCGCCTCTCAATCATCTTGGTGCGCTCTCCTTTCACACTCCGCCGCTTCACTTCCTCCCGCCCCTCTTCATCATCCGTCCGCGTCCGTCTCTCCTCGCCTCCCTGTCCTTCCTCGCCCTCGCCCTCGCCCTCGCCTCTCTTCCTCCGCTTACCGCACACGCCCCTTCTCCTCCCTCCCTCCCTCCCTCCCTCCCTCCCCTCTCCTCCGACCGTCCGCTCTCTCCACCTTCTGTCCCCACCTCGGTCCGTGGTCATGTCTACGTCCGCCATCAACATCGCCATCGTATCCCGCCGCGCATCCCGTCCGCCGCATCAACGCCTACTACCCGCCCGTGTCCTACCTCCCGCCCGCCCTCTATCTACCCAACCCTGCGCGCTCCCAGCCACCGCCGCCACCCCTCCGCGCACCGTTGTGTCCCGTCCCTCCGCGCTAGTGCGCGCGCGTCGTATCAGCCCGCTGTCCCTCCATCCCCATCCCCATATCCAAGTCCAGGGCCCTCGAATCTCATTCACGCACATCGAAACCTCGCGTTCACAGCTCCAAGTTTCGAATCCCCGCCTATCTCGATTCAAGGCTCGACTCACCGCCCGCGCAAATTCGAGGCTCGCGCCCGCGCGCGGCTGCGTCGTCAGCAGCTCCGGGTCGAATCTGATCCCGACTTCTCCAACTTCCGTACAAGCATATCCGAAATCCAAGTCTCAAATCTGAATGCCCGCGCTCGCAAATGCACATTCATGTCTAAATCCTTGTGATCTCAAATCCAGTGCATCTCGACTTCGCGCGTCTCGCAACTCCGCATCACGTCCCGTCTTGACTCCGCATCAGGGCCTAGCCGTTCCCAAGTCGGCGCGCATCCAGATACCAGATGCATATCCCCGCGGTCGCAAGTGCAGGTCCGAGTCCGCGCGCTCGCAACTTCGTCCTCGCCCTTTTCAAATCGCCGCGCTCGCAAACCCAAGACCCGGCCGATGTGCATCGCCTCCGAGCACGAACGCGAACAAGGGTTTTGTTTCGTGATTCCAGGATGTGTGCGTCGGGCGGGCGGTAAGTGCGAGGTAGGGAGGGAGAGGTGCGGGCGAGGCGAGCTGGCGGCGGAGGAAGGCGCGAGGTGTCGCGAGGTGCGAGTGCATCGCCTGTTATTAGTTTTTTCCAAAAAAAAATGGATATTGGTTGAATGCACCGAGTGAATTCCGAGCGGGGTCCCTGTTCTGAGCAGTCTTTCTTCCTGATCGAGGTGGGGTAATACCGCCGCGTGCGATGAGTAGGAATGAAAAATAACGAAGGAAAAATACAAAGAAAACAATGACCTTAGCCCCGTACTCAGACACAGGGATTCGAACCCTAGACTGCCTTCGGAACCGAGAAAGATCTCCAATGTGAGAAGAGGCTGTGTTCCTGCTACACTATATCCGAGTTGCTTCTCAGCACATTCGAGGGGTTTTATCAGCTTGTTTGAGTATTAGCAGGGTTTTGGTACTAGAGCCTGAACGGGGTTCTTGTTTTTCAGATATTCGAATTTCGAGGCGCGAGCGGGAATTTTCGACTTGATCTCAAGCTTCGATTTCGTAGGCGACAGAAATGAAAAGGAAAGGAAAAAACCAAGTGACCAAAAGCTTTGCATTCAGACACAGGGAGTCGAACCCTGGACTGCCTCTCAATCTCGTAATCCCCCTCAATACTAAGAGGCCGTGCTCCCACTACACCATTTCTAACTTACTTCTCAACACATCCAGGTAGTTTTATGAGCTCGTTTGACTACTTATTAGTGTTTGGATAATTGTAGATAGAGCGGGGTTCTGGTTCTTTCTTCGTGCTGTGAAGACTGAATATCCAGCCCTTAGCAGCGCGTTCGACCGTACGTCCCGCGCGGGGTGCCACTGGCTGGTGAGAAAATGAAATAACACAAGACAAAAAAGGACTTTTTCATCCGAATTCAGAGACAGGGGATCAAACCCTGGACTGCCTCTCAATCTCTATCCAAATCCCCAGAATTGGAGGCTATGTTCCCGCTACACCATGTCCAAGTTACTTTCCAAAGCCTGCACCGCAGATGTTTCAGGGAGGCGTGTTATTCATAGGTCGGGCAGAATGCAGCTGACGACGTACTGAAGAAGCGGGGCTGCGCCGACAGCGACGATGGGATTTTTATCTGCATGGGAGACGATGTTGTGGCTGGATCCTTCAGGAAGCCCGTCATAATGCGAGGTGAGGTCCGTTTCAATGCTAAATTCCTTCGGGTTCCCGATCAAGGCATTGTCAAGGAGCTAAATAAAATAACTATCATTAATCTCAGGCGACGTCGCCCTAAGTTCCGCAAGCAGGTGTAAGAGAAGGGGCTGTGTTCCATTTCCACCATGTCTGATTTCCTTTTCTCTACATCAGGGTAAGATTATCAGGTCGTTGAAGGGGAACGGTGATACGCCTACGGCGCGGCTGCGAGCGGAGCTAAAACAAATATTAAAGTGTCGGGGAGTGCGGGCAGCGGAGGCACTCGAAGGGCCGTAGGAGGTAAGTGATGTGCGAGGTTTTCCTGCTAAGGTTCAGTACTCCTTCGCGGGACAGGGACAAGGTGAATAAAATGGATACAGGGCAGCAATGATAAAGGCTGCACAAGAGGGACGGGGGACAGCGATGAGAGGTGCAGAGGACGACGGAGGACACGAGGGCGAGGACGAGGGCGAGGACGAGATCGATTAGGAGACTCAAATGCGAACTGAAGAGGGTAAAACTTCGTTGTTATTGTGAAATTTTCTAGGTAGCTTTTATACATAGCTCAAGAAAATATGAGTAATGTAAAACTAGTAAAGAAGAATCGTGAATGGTTGAATCTTGTGGTTGAACCGGGTAAGCAGTAGCCGGTAGCGCGTGTATAACTAAGCAGAATCATGTAAATTAAATTTGAACAGTCACCGGAACGGGTCTAAGTCAAGAGGAAATGAAAGGGAAATGAACCATGTCACCGAAGTGTGAGAGTATGCGACGGGGTCGGGGATCTTACAGTAGCGATGTCGGCGTGCTTGCGAGTCGGCAGGGAGTGTCAATGAGGCAGTGTAACATGTTGAATGGAAGTTAAACCACGGCATCGCCACCGCTTAGATAGATGACCGATTTAGCACGTTTTCGGGATCAGCGCGGGAGCGTGCGTATCAACGGAGAAAGAAAGAAAAATATATCATGCATATGAACCCAGACACAGGGATTCGAACCCCGCATTGCCCCTGAATATCTCGATAAACTGCGATAACAAGAAGGTATGTTCCGAATGTCATTACTCCACGTCTAAGATCCTTTGCTCCATCCGGGCAGTTTTGTTGGCCAGTTCAAGGAAAGCGAATAAAAATTCCACTGACACATTTCATTCAGACACAGGGATCCGAACCCTAGACTGCCTCCAATGGTTTGTAGGGATAATCAACAATGAGAGGCCGTGTTTCCGACTACACCATGTCTAACTCTCCTTTCCCTCTATTGAACAAGTTTTATTAGTTCTGAGATCCGCGTCTAAATTAGATTAAATTTGCTCCTGTCGGCGGGGGCGAGTCCGGATTTGATGGTATGTATAATAAGGCTGATGTCAGCCGAGCCGCACTACTCAGCCAGGCTTGCGAGTCCACGTCGAGTCTACTATCAATAGCCTACATCTGCAAAACAGCCCACAACTGCAAAAGAAAGTTAAATTATTTTCCCAAGTCAATTTTGTTCCAATTCACTCCGAAAAATACGGGGAGATAGATCTGCTTCCTGAGAATATGACCCAGAAAGATTAGGAAAAAAATGACCTAGACTGAGCGAGCCCCCAATCAAAACTTTTTTTTGCATATGTAGGTGGTTTTGATCGCATGGCTCGGCAACTTCATTGCGAGCTCGATTCTGCTCGGAGCCTTATACCATCTCTCAGCAACCAAGTAACCACTTGGAGAATCCTATATCCCAAACCCGAAGCGTATCTGGCAAGAGGCAGGCAGGCCGGGAGCGCCATCAAAATATTTTTCCAGAGGTGGGTGATCGATAGTACAACGGCGTCGCACTCACCCCCGTGGCCATCGAGCCAGTCGCGAGCAACGTGCATCGGCTCACCATCCCCGCATCAACAGTGATGTCACCCGCTCCCATCCTCATCGTCTAACCACCAACCAGTGGCAACCACCCACTCTCAATGCTGTCGACACCCCGCTCGCGCGCCCCTCGCCCAAACGGCCCGCCCTCTCCGGCTCTGCGTCCTTCGAGCCCTCCTCAACAGTCTTCTCCGACGCGTCTTACGGACCCCGGCATCTGCGCGCACCCCGTGATGGACCTGGGTCGCGTCGTCCGCCCTCGAGTCTCATCGCCCGCGCCATCCAATTCCTTCGTTCTCGCCCCCCCGTGGCTCTCATTCACCACTCACATCTATCTATTCACTTTCTTTTCGTCCTCTCTTTCAGCGTTCTACGCTTTATTTCACCGCGCAACGTCCACTTGTCGCGTAGTTAACCTTCGACACGCTCATGGCCCCTATCCTCTCCGTCGCCTCCACGTTGCCATCCACTCATCCACGTCCATATCCACCCGCGTTGCCTTTCCTCCCTTCTTCCTCCTTCCTTCCCGCACCTCGTTCTCACCTTCTGTGTCTTTGCCCGTCCGAGTCATCGCTCGATCACCCCGCATCCTCTTGCTATCCACGCGCACGTCCCCTCCTCGCATCTACGTGCCCGTACCCCCTCGCCTCGCAGCGTCCCCTTCCTCGCCTCTCCACATCCTAATCATCCTGGTGCGCTCTCCCTTCACACCCCGCCGCTTCACTTCCTCCCGCCCCTCTCTTTCTTTCCGATCCTCCCTCGCCCTCACCCTCGCCCTCTCTTCCTCCTCTGACCGCACACGCCCCTTCTCCTCCCTCCCTCCCTTCCCTCCCCTCCCTATCCGCCCTCCATCCGCCCAATCCTGTGCGCTGCCAGCCACCGCCACGACCGTACCCTTATCGCTAGTGCCGACGCACGCGTCAATCGGCCTGCTGTCTCTTCCTCCAACCGCCATATCCAAGTCCCAAGGCCCTCGGATTCCATTCACGCACATCGAATTCCTGCGTACGCAACTCCAGGTTTCGGATCTCCATCCATATCGATTCAAGGCTCGACTCACCGCCCACGCAAATTCAACGTCGCGCCCGGCGCGGCTGCGTCATCCGCAGCTCAGGATCTGGATCGAATCTGAATCCCGACTGCTCCAAATCCCGTACAAGTATATCCGAAATCCAAGTCTCGAATCTGAATGCTCGCGCTCGCAAGTTCAGGTCCAAGTTCTCGCGATCTCACGTCCTTCACATCTCGAATCCTCAGCTCCGCGCTCGCAAGTCCGACTCCACGCGCATCACCTCCGGTCTTGACTCCGAATCAAGTCCCAGTTCTTCTCAACTAGACACCCATCCAGATTCCAGATGCATATCCCCGCGGTCGCAAGTGCAGGTCCGCGTCTCGACTCCGCGTGCGCGCAAATCTACATCCTCCGCTCGCACCTCCGCATCCCCCGCGCTACCAACTCCGAATCCATGCGTCGCGATGAGCACGAAGCAACGGGCGCTGGTAATTCCGCGATATATGGGCCGGGTTAGGTTAGGTGGCGTTGTGCGTAGGTGCGAGGTGCGAACGAGCCGGGGGCGGAGGGAGCTGCAAGCATGTATGTAGGACTGTTATTAGTTTTTCCAAAAAAATGGATATTGGTTGAACGCACCGAGTGAGCGGAGTCCTTGTTCTGAGCTGTCCTCCTTCGAGGTGGTGATACCACCGCGTTCGATAGGAATGGAAAATAACAAAGTAAAAAGAAAAACAATTTTGAGTCCAACATATTCAGACACAGGGATTCAAACCCTGGACTGCCTCTGGAACCTGGTGGTACTTCTACGAGGAAGAGAGGCCGTGTTCCCACTACACCATGTCTGACTTCCTTTCTGCAACATTCGGGTGGTTTTATCACTTTGTTTTAGTATTTGGTTAACCTTTGAATTTAGAGCCTGAGCGGTAGTGTTGCCGCGGCTCGGCTGCGGCTGGCTCCGGCTCGGCTTTGATGGCTTCGGAAACCATCACCGACTAAGCCGAGCCAAGCCATTGATAAACGGCTGGTTCTCACGGCTTTCGGCTTGGATTTGGCTCAGCCGTGGCTCCCAGTGGCTTCCCCGTAGTTTTCTTCCTACACCTCTCAAAAGCTACGCTGCCCATCCAGCACGTCCCTGAACATGCCTCAAGGTGCCTGAAGTCCTGAACTCCCAAGTGCAGCATGTAGCTGCCTCATCCACTGTGTCATCGCCACTATCGAGGGAGTCACCGGCTTCAAACAGGTTACAGGATCACACTGTTGCCATGAGATTTGGGCCGAGAATTATTGTATGTGGTACTTTAGGAGGAGGTATAATCCAGGGGAGTGACAGGTAGCATGTAGAGTAGCGAGGAGAGGAGAGGTAAGCAGCGACCAACAATAGTGGGGAGCCGCCTGGAGCCGCGGCTGAGCCGAGGTTAAAGCCGGCTCCAGCCGAAGCCGGGCTACCTATAGCCGGGAACCGGCTGGCTAGGCTTGGCTTAATTGCGGCTCGGCTTGATCGGCTAGCCGAGCCGCGCCAAGCCGCGGCAACACTACTGAGCGGGCTTCTTATCTAATAGAATTTCGAGGCGCCAGTGGAAATGGTCAACTTGAGTTGGAGCTTCAAGCTTCGATTTCAAAAGCGAGCGAGAGAAATGAAAAGGAAAAAAACAAGTGACCGAAATCTTGAACCCAATCACAGGGAGTCAAACCCTGGACTGACTCTCAATATCTCCTGTTAATCCCACAGAGTAAGAGGCCGTGTTCCCACTACACCATATCTGAGTTCTCTTTCCATGTGTATGAGCTGGTTTTATAAGCTTGTTTGAGTATTGGCAGGGTGGTGTTAGCCTTTGAATGTAGAGCCTGAGCGGGGTTCTCGTCTTTTAGATCTTCGAATTGTGAGGCGCGAGCGGGAATGTTTGACTTGAGCTGGAGCGTCAAGCTTCGATTTCGAAGACAGGAGAAATCAAAAGGAAAAGGGAAAAAATTAAGTGCTCAAAAGTACTGCATTTAGACACAGGGAATTGAACCCCGGACCGCCTCCATAAACTCATGAGCAAGTTTAATAGATAGAAGAAGAGGCTGTGTTCCCACTACGTCATGTCTGAACTGCTTCTCAGTACATCTGGTTAGCTTTATCAGCTTGTTTGAGTATTGACAGGGTGTGTCAACCTTTAAATGCCGAGCCTGACCGAGGTTCTTGGTTTTAAGATATTCGAACTTCGAGGCCCGAGTGGGAATGTTCGACTTTAAGCTTTGATTTCGAAAGCGAGAGAAATGAAAAGGAAAAAAAAAAATCAAATACCCGAAAGGCCTATATTCAAAACACAGGGAATCGAACCCTGAACAGCTCAGGGCATGAGAACCAACTGCGCACATTGTGAGACGGTGTTTCCATCACACCATATCTGAATCCCTTTTCATTACACCCGAGTAGCTATATCATCATCTCGTAGGAGGACGCAAGTAAAATGAAGAGAAAGCTTCATTTGACATAAGAATTCAACCCCTGGACTGCCTCTGAAATTAGCTGGGTTGTATTAGCTCCGAGGTTGAACCAAGGTTGAACCTTCCCGTGTCGCGGCGCGGGCGGGTGGACCCGGAAGCAAATTTGGCGGGTATGTATGAGGCTGGTGTCAGTGCCAAGCCCAGCTGAGGTGTACTTGCGAGAGACTACGATGGCGTCGAGCTCACCGCCGTCGCGGTCGTCGAGCAAGTCGACGTCGCGGGCGACGTGCATCGGCTCGGCATCCCCGCATCAATGACGTCGCCCGCTCCCATCCTTATCGTCCCACCAACTCATTCCACCACCACCCTACTTTGACTCCCCTCGGTGCTGTCGACACCCCGCTCGCGCGGCCGCCCAAGCGGCCCGGCCTCTCCGGGTCCGGTCCTTCGAGCCCTCCAGCACCGTTAAGTTTTCCGACGCGCCTTACCGACACCGGCATCGGCGCGCACCCCATGATGGACCTGGGTCGCGTCGTCCGCCCTCGAGTCCCATCGCACGCGCCATCCATTTCCTTTATCCCCGCCTCCCCGTGCCTCTCATTCACCATTCACATCCATCCATTCACTTTTCTTTCTGTTCTCTCCTTCATTCAGCATTCTGCACTTTCCACCACGCAACGTCCACTTGTCATGTCGTTAACCATCGACACGTCCATGCCCTCATCCTCTATCGCCTCTACCCCATGTCTTCGCCGTCGCCGTCATCCCGCGTCACGTGTCCATATCCACCCGCGTTGCATTGCCTTTCCTCTCTCCTTCCTCCGCACCACACACCCGTCCCCATCCTCCTGCGTCTCCGTCTCCCTTACGTCGTTGCTCGCCCCGCCTCCACTTACTATCCCGCACAGGTCCCCTTCTCGTATCCACGCGCCCGTCTCTCCTTGCGCTCGCAGCGTCCCCTTCCCCGCCTCTCAATCATCCTGGTGCGCTCTCCCTTCACACCCCGCCGCTTCATTTCCTCCCGCGTCCGTCTCCCCTCGCCTCCCTGTCCATCCTTGCTCTCGCCCTCCCCTTACTGCACACGTCCAGCACCCGCCCGTGTCCCGCGGCTTCCGCTCACCCTCCATCCACGCAACCCTGCACGCTCCCAGCCACCGCCGCACCCTTGCCCGTCCCGTCCCGTCCCTCCACGCCCTTGCCGCTCGTGCGCCCACCGCGGCCTACGTCGTATCTGCCCGCTGTCTCTCCATCCCCATCCCCATATCCAAGTCTAGCGCCCTCGAATCCCATTCACGCACATCCGAATCCCCGCGTGCGCAACTCCAAGTTTCGAATCCCCGCCTAGCTCGATTCCCCGCCCGCGCAAATTCAAAGCTCGACTCCCCGCGCCCGTACGCGGCTGCGTCGTCCGCAGCTCCGGATCCGGATCGAATCTGAATCCCGTACAAACACATCCGAAATTCAAGTCTCGGATCTAGATTCTGAATGCCCGCGCTCGCAAATGCACATCCAGGTCCAAGTCCTCACGATCTCAAATCCAAGTCTTGACTCCCCGCGTCTCGCAACTCCAAACTTCACGCGCATCGTGTCCCGTCTCGACTTCGCATCACGTCCCAGCCCTTCTCAAGTTGGCGCGCATCCAGAGTCCAGATCCACTATGATCCCCGCAGGCGGAGATCCACTTCCGCGTTCGCAAATCCAGGTCCCAGACCTTCTCAATCGCCGCCCCCGCGCATACCGTTCATGGCCAACGAGAACGAGAACGAGCACGGACGAGCGGTTGATTGCGGGATGTGTCGGTCGGGTCGAGTCGGGTGGCATTGCGCGGCAGGTGCGAGATGGTAGGTAGGTAGGTAGGTAGGTGCGGCCGAGGCGGGGGCGGGGAGGTACGAGGCGGATGCGAAGTGCAAGGGCTGTTAATAGATTTCTCAAAAAAAATGGATATTGGTTGAATGTACACCGACACCGAGCGAGCGGGATTCCTGGTGGGGTAGTGCCGCCGGGTCCGATGAGTAGGAATGGAATGGAAGACGAAAAAAAAAAAAAAAAAAAAAAAATCAGTTCATTCAAACACAGGGATTCGAACCCTGGGCTGCTTCTTGCAAATTGTAATCAATTTAAAATTATAGATAAAGAGGCCGTGTTCCCCCTACACTACATCTGAGTTCCTCTGCAAAACATTCGGGTGGTTTTAGCAGTTTGTTTGAGTATTGGACAGGGTTTTTGTTTTTTAGATATTCGAATTTCGAGGCGCGAGCAGGAATGGTCGGCTTGGAGCTTGAACCTGAGTTCGAAGGTGGGAGAAATGAAAAGGAAAAAAAATCGACCGTGCATTTTCTAATATGCAGTTATATCGAGAACTTACCTCCGTGCAAGACACACCTGACACTACAACCACGGCACCAACCAATCAATGTACAGATTCCTCTCCTTGTCCGCGTTCTCCTTCAATGTCGCACAGTCGCCGTGGCCCAACTCCCTTTAACTTAGTTGTTTGAAGCATAGTTATGTTCGCTCGTCCGTCTTTCTGTTGTCCTTCTGGCAACCATTCTACGCGCCTCCATTCCCAGTGAACTGACTATTGAGCTCGGAATATATCCACCCTCCGAGTTCCGGCCATCTCACGCTATGCCATTCATTGATCCCGAAGTCCCAACCTCCCTTCTCCCACATGCCGTACCCCAACGAAATCCTGTCGCTCGTCCCATCCCGGAAAAAACGTGATCAGTGTGTTCTTCTCCCCTCGTTCTCCTCATCACAGGCTGCCTGGCAACGAGTTCGTCAGCATCAAGTTAGCTACGGAGCTAACGTCAACGAGTTTCAACTTATGGGATGATCATCTGCCACAACTTGAAGTTCGTTTCCACAGTCCAGGCAATACAGAGCTCCTCTTCACGTGCCGCATCAGTTGTACTGCTCTATCATCTTCGCACGTACATCTCCCGCTTCATCCATCTTTGCTGTAATCTGTCATGTAGCAGTGGTCTTGGTACAATATGTAGCGACGGACAAGTCGATACAGATTGATGTTTCCAAGTCTCTCTCTCCATGGATCTTCTGCGAAGCGTTTCCAGGGGAATAGTATCCTATCGACTGGGATACAGTAGGAGGCGGAACATCGAGGGCCCGACGGACAAATGGACAAGATAAATGCAGCTATCAGTGAGCGGGCGCACCTCCATCTTCGCCTGATTGCCTCCTTCTCGCGACTCGAGCCGCGCCACTCAATACTCCGCCCAGCACGGCCAAACCCATTCACACCCATTGAAAGACAGAAGGGATCGAGACTAGGAGCTAGTCATTCACCTCCTTCATCTCCACTCTCGGGCCTCTGGGGTGAGTTGCCTTCTTTCCAGCAAACCTCCGATTCTGTTCACGCGATCCGGATCCGGGCCACGGTCGGTCTAAGTCTGGTCTCTCGCTCTGTCGCTCTTGTTTCTTGCCTGATACTAAACACTCTATCTCTTCTTCAGTCTCGGAGCGGTGGCGAGCCTGAAAATTCGTCGATAAAGGTCCACAGTGTAAGATGGAGGAGCCGGGGATGAGCGGAGAGATCAAGCTGGGTCTGTGGCAGTGTCGCGGATCAAGTCGGCGACCATCTTTTTCTCTTGACCGGCACGACACGACTCGGAAATTTGTACAAAATGCTCAATCTTTCGCTTCTCTGGTTTGTCACCGTCTAGCGCGTAGAACGAGCGAGGTTGCAAGTCGCACTTTCTCTCCAGTCTGCTCGAACCCAGTGATTCTTCAGCGCCTTGTAAAATCTCAATCTCTCCTTCTCTCCGGACCATCTCTCCCCCTCGCCCTCATGCACGACACCTCTTAAACTGCTCCCAACTTCCCCACGTCAACGAGCCTTGTCTTTTTGCCTCGAATCGTCCATGCTGGTCTGCGGTTACCGTGTGCTGTGTGCTAAGTTAATCCCTGGACCTGGTGCCGCGTGTACGATGTGCCCCATGCCCTCTCAGCACAATTTCAGGCCGCAAATCTGAATGTTTTGGCACGGCAGTGTAATTATCAATAAAGGCGGACCGCGTTCGGCAGGTTGATTGGATCGAAGTGGCAAACGACCAACAAACGACGCAACTGACAGATTGCAACAGTCGTTCAGGTTAAACATCAGTGTTTTCATTCATCGTGGAGGATCGGCAGCGATATGATCAGCTTAATAGCTTAATCACCTTCTGCTGCGATGTAACTCCCTCCATCGCTTCACTTCACGACCCTTCAATTGTGTACATGGCTGGGCTGACTCACGGCTGTGCCACCATCCGAATTTCCCCACGAGAATGGATAGAAGATAAAGACGATGCACAACGGGGTGATCGCTTCTGCGTTTCTCTCGAGTCAGTCCCTTGTCTCATGCATCGCTCTAGCTTCCGACCTATATCTCCCAAGGAGCTCCGCCTCGACAGTGCTCTGTTTACTCCTCTCAAGCGAGGAGATGAGTCCACAGAAACAGTATTGAATTCATCCACCACCTTACTTCGGCCGTCAGGTATCGCATGTAAACATCTTTCTGGGGGTCTCGCTCACCGGGTATTTGCAGTGTCTGATGAATCACAGACGCATTCGTTCAAGGCTCCGCACGCACTGTCTTTGCTCCTGCACTGTACATTAGTCGGCGTACATCTAGCGCTCGTTGCTGTATGGGCGAGGGGGCTGGAGCATGAACTTGTCTATCCCCTGGAACACCAACAAATTGTGTCCTTCCTTGTCACTGCAATCTCAACTACAGCTGGAACGGTCTGTATTCAGTGGTGGATGCAATATTTAAGCCGTTCTCAACGAACCCCAGATTTACTCAGCCCTGTTGGTCCTTGTCACACAGAACGCTTCTAGGGGCCGCAATCTATACAGGGATCAGAGCCTGACCGCCACTCATGATACTGAAGCGGCGTGGGCTGGAGTTGGATCGGCAGTCGTTCAACTTTGGAATCAGAAGACCATTCCTGCCTGTATAGTCGGGGTCCTTTCCGTTTTCCTCTATCTCGGGAACATTTTGGTTCTCCACGTCACGACTCCTGCACTGTTCTCCTTGGAAGCGTTCAACTCGTCGCGCTCCATCTCCGTTGGGACGCAGGGTCTTCCGGTCTGGAATTCATCAAATCAGGGCGGAGAAGATCAGTGAGTCTTGATGAAAGCGTCGACTAACACACTGGTTAAAATTATCCGGACAGTGCTAAAATGGGTTTCTTCGCCGGAGCGGCCCTGTATTATATACCGTTCATCGATGGGATTCTTCCGATTGGACTCAAAGACGGCACAATACACGACGTGCTCGACGTGAATGCAGGAGTCGACAATGTGAATGTCAATGCTACTGGCTTCAACATTACCTGCGGCTACTTGGTGGATGTAGACCTCAAGTTCTTGGCCGCAAGAAATGCATGGCGTTTGGCCGTTCCGTACTTCCCTTGGACAAATCGGACTTTCGTTCTTCCCTCGGCTCGTAAGACCGTCCCCTTCAACTAACAGTGTATTGCTGATCTTCGTCCAGAACCTGGGGTGATATATACGATAGCTGATTCCGGCAACTCCATCCTCTTATATAGTACCGTTCCAATTGTGGACTCCAGCTTCAGCCGCGGATCCTGGGTCAATTTCCCCTCACCCACAAATGCGTCGAAATCCTCTGTCCCTTCCATACAGGTCTTCCGTTGCTCTCAGTCAAGAGTCGAGCAGACGGCTTTGGTGGATCCACAGTCTGGAACACCCATCAAGATTACACCAGAAATCAACAAGACAACCTCCACTTGGCAGCCTACGCCCGAGCGGATTACCGAATGGCAAGATCCTCTTTTGGACGTGGTGCGTCGGTTAATTGATCAGGATCTGACCTTACTCAGTGCATTTGTTAGTGGGGTACATGGTATTCCTGGATGCCTCCGTCTGATTTCCCCTTGCGAGTCAACCCGGACAATTCGCTACAAACGGATTATTTCTCTGTCGCAGATTTGTATGTGTAATTATGGCCATTCGGAGGTGGACCTCATCGACGACACTGCTCCTCCATAGGTATCTGCTCCGAAAACTGAATCTTCGCCCACCCAAAGGCCGAGATGCTCCGAAAACTGTGACGCTTCATGATCTCGAAAACACCCTGTCAAGCCTCGTGGCCTCCATGTTCTGGACCCGTATGCCTGAATCACTGGTCCTCAAATTTCCTACTTATGCGTCCGGGATTTCTAGTGGGCCACATTCACCCTACACACAGCACATATATGTACGACGTGAATCTTCGGACGGGAGTGATCGAAGCCAGCATCGGTGAGTTTTGGAGCCCTCTCCACCTGCGACAAGGAAATATCACCGTCACCGAAATCGCTACGCAAGCACGCTTAGATGTATGTACTGCCTATGCTCAACATATTCTCTGCAAGTTCATGATCTCGCAATAGTTGAACATCATCGCGGTACCTGTTGAAACACAATCCTAGAGTGAACGCTGATAGATGTCAGGTTGGGGCTGGCCTGGCAGCGTCCACCGCACTCGCCCTATTGTCTGCGTTTTATTTCAGGCCCCTCAGAGCTCCATCCGGGAGCAGCGCGGTGGTCACTGACGACACGGGAATCCTCCACGCAATATGGCTGTATCGTAACCATCCCGAGCTTGAGACACTTCTTCAGCAAGCGGAACATCCCACTTCCGAGAATCTACGCCGAGCGGGGATGATACGCACCACGCTGCTCGCAGCGAGCGTTGATCAGCAGGGTTGTAAATCTTTCTCAATTGCGCGAGGCCGTAACCCGCGGATATTCCCTCAAAGATGATTCGGTTGGACTGGAGCGTTATGACCATTGGATTGGACGTTCCAATCGAGTTACCTACTATCTGTATATTTTGCTTGAATCATGCCGAGTACAAATCTCAGTGCTTTCAAAAGAAATTGCAGTGCTATTTTAGACCATGTAGGTCAAGTATTCACGGCTCAGTCTTAAGGTTTTTTTCAACTTTACCGATCCAAAAGCAGTCATCCCAATGGTGGGGGACAATGAGGGATACCTCCAGATCAGAATATAAGACAATGAAAGAGGATGCACCTTTGTATCTAATGTGTGTACTTGGCCCCTAATACAGTTTCTTTAAGCCGAGTTTGGGGCTTTCAAAAAACGTACTTGGGGCCAAGTACACAGATTAGATACATAGCCAGTATAGTTATC